GGCTCACCAGTTTTAAGGCAAAAATTGTCAAATATGAATTATTTGTCAGAATAAGACGTTGAAATTCTGAGTGTTGCACATTGTAAATAAAGACCACTAAAAAGCAAAAGAGGAAACATTTTGGAGTTCATAAGTATATATTTATAGGATGAATGAATAAACAACTGTTCTAGTGTTATGTAAAATACTCATGGCGTTGGATAAAATTTTTAGGATCAGCATTACACAAAGATTCAAAAGTACTGTATTTAAACTCAATTGTGATAAAAGGAAAGATGATATGCTATGGAAAATTTTAGCACAGTACCAATGATACCAATATGAGAGTTTGAATAAAACCATTTCATGAAATGGTTAAGAAAAAATTTTTAAAAAAATGCTTATTTATGGGTGGCGCCTGTGGCTCAAAGGAGTAAGGCACCGGGCCCCATATGCTGGAGGTGGCAGGTTCAAGCCCAGCCCCGGCTGGAGAAAAAAAAAAAAAAAAGCTCATTTATTTATTTAATTTATTTTTTTAGAGACAGAGTCTCACTTTGTTGCCCTCGGTAGAGTATTGTGGTGTCACAGTTCACAGCAACCTCCAGCTCTTGGGCTTAGGTGATTCTCTTGCCTCAGCCTCCCGAGTAGCTGGGACTACAGGTGCCTACTACGAAGCTGGGCTATTTTTAGGGATGAGATTTGGCTCTGGCTCAGGCTGGTCAGGAACCTGTGAGCTCAGACAATCCACCCACCTGTGCCTCCCAAGTGCTAATAATACAGGTGCGAGCCACCGAACTTGGCCAAGGTTTTTCTGTTTTTAGTAGATATGGGGTGTTGCTCTTGCTCAGGTCTTAAAATTCTGAGCTCAAGCAATGCACCCGCCTTGGCTTCTTGGAGTGCTCGGATTATAGGCATGAGCCACAGAGCCTGGTTTATTTTTTAATATTTTAAATATTTAAAAATCTTGTTTAAACTGCATTCATCAAAGTAGATTTATCATGTTAATCAAATTATGTTTTAGTGGGTCTTGTCTCTGAGGACCTGACTTATTTTGTGGTCTAAAGTGCTCCAGTTAGGCCTAGCAGTGGACACAAGTCCAACGATTTTGTCTAATGCTCAATATAGCAAATGCCATTTCTTTCTTTTCTTTTCTTTTCAAGAGATAGTCTCATTTTGTTGCCCTTGGTAGAGTCCCATGGTATCACAGCTCACAGCAACCTCCAGCTCTTGGGGTTAGGCAATTGTCTTGCCTCAGCCTCCTGAGTAGCTGTGACTATAGGCGATTGCCATAATGCCCAGCTATATTTTTGTTGCAGTTTGGCTGGGGCCAGGTTCAAACCCGTCATCCTCAGTATATGAGGCCGGTGCCCTACGCACTGAGCCACAGGTGCCGCCCACAAATGCCATTTCTACTAATCTTCAGGTACAACAATGAAAACTTCCACTGTTAAAGAGATAATTAAAAAAATTTTCTTTGAGACAGAGTTTCACTTTGTGGCCCTCCATGGAGTGTCGTGGTGTCACTGCTAATCGTTACCTCAAACTCTTGGGCTCAAGTGATTCTCTTGTCTCAGCCTTCCCAGTAGTTGGGAGTATAGGCACCCACCACAAAGTCCAGCTATTTTTTTTGAGACGGAGCCTCAAGCTATCCCCCTGGGTAGAGTGCCATGGCATCACGCTCACAGCAACCTCCAACTCCTGGGCTCAAGCGAGTCTCCT